ATATCCATTTTGTAATAGACACTAATAAAGAACACTGATAAGAAAAGCAACTACCTTATTCATTTAAAAAACACTGATTAAGTTGAGTGTTTGCATACAATGCACATGGTCTGTGATGTTAAAAGCAATTAGTAAGCTCACCGGAGATTAAGATTCCAAAGTTTAATTATCAGTTTACAGCAGAAGTTGGTATGAGGCAGAGGCATGAGGGTAACCTCTGGGGTTTATGGCACCCCTCTGGTTTGGGTCCCTGGTCTACTGGGCAGCCCAGTGCCCTCCCCTGCAATTAAATGATGTAATGTGGGCACTGACTTAGCACAGAGTCTGGGAACAGCAAGAACTCCAATCACAAAAAGGTCCCGCAGATTCAAGGTCATCTACATCCTGTGCATGGGACTGGCTTTCCTCCTGGGGAAATATCACATAAGTGATTGAAAGCAGAGCTGTAAGGTCCCCTCGAACAGCAGCATATCCCTCAACTCTGAAAGCCCCTGCCCTGACTTGTGAGCCTGGTCACTGCCCCTAAGCCTCTCCCACAGCACAATCCTATGATTAGTGGGGTGCTTCCTCCAGTGGATCATGCTTTAGCTTTCTAAGCTGCTAGAACCTTCGGGGTTTTTCACCCTTGGTGCTCTTGGCATCTTGGGCCCAGTGACTCTTTGTTGTCAGGGGCAGCTGGGTCAGGGACAACCTGCCCATGGTAGGGTGTTTAGTGACACACACCATACCCTAAACTGCTCACGCCAAAGCTTCGTCCACTAGACGCCAGCAGCATCCAACCCCTGCAGTAGTGACGAAAATGCCAAGTGCCCCTGGGGGGCAAACTTTCCCCCAGTTTAGAACCACAGTTTTGGATCAGTTCAGCTGTTCCTCAGCCATCCCATAAGAACCTGGGGCCAGGACTACTCGTTAATATCCACGCACCCTACCTGCCACAAAAACCCAAAACTTGAACTTTTGAACTTTAAGACCTTCTTCCCAAGAGCCATGTAATGTTACCTGTGGAAGTTAAGTTTTCTGAAACACTTGTCTAACATTTTAATGCAAATTCTCACTTACTGGTGGCATGGACTACAGGCAAGAAAAAACCAGGTAGGTCAAGCTGGGCCCTGAGGGGATGAGAGGGAGGGAAGGGGTGTCCAGCCAGCTGGTACTCCCTGAAGAGCAAGATCTCACATTCATTTATGCAGTATAAAATGGGTGAGATAGACTGGCAGGTGACACTCGCTTACTCATGTGGCTTTAAATATGACTTTAAAATGACCCCATATTTTATATTCCCAATTCTCAATGGATCCATTTTGGTATTGTTCAAGAATCTCAAACTCAGCACGGCCAGAACTGATTTGTCCTCCTCAACCTCATCTTTCACTGGTATTTCTTGAAAACGGCCATACCACCATACGCCAAATTGCTCAAGCCAACGTCAAAGTCATCCTTGATTCTCCGATTCCTCACCACACCCACCAGTGCCGCCAGCTCTGCCTCACACCCAGCACTAAACGGCCTTCTCTCTAGCTCCACTTCCGTGACCCTAGTGTGAGCCACTACCCGTTCTTACTGGACCATGGCATTAGCTCCTTAACTAGTTCTTGTTTCCTCTCGCGTCCCCCACATCAGGTTTTCTCAATACCACACTAATGACATTTTGGGATAGGTAATTCTTTAGTGTGTGTGGTGGGGAGGGGCTGTCTCGGGGACTGTACAGACCCCCTTGTCTCCAACTACCAGATGCCAGTAATAAAACTAACCATCCCCCCAAATTCTGACAAACAAAAATGTCTCTAGATATTTCCAGGAGACAGAACCACCCACAGCTGAGAACCATTGTCCTACAACCTACGCACAGAAGCCATATATTGTATATGTTAAAAATATAAATTGCAGAATAGGGGACTTCCAGCCGAGACAGAGGCATAGGTAGAAACACTGTGCCTCCTCACACAACCAAATTTAAGGACAACAAAGACTTAGAAATAAAAACACAACCAGAACAGACAGAAAATTGAACTGCGTGGAAGTCTGACAATGAACCATTCATCCAGACCGGTAAGAGGGGTGGAGTCAGCAGCCGGTGGAGAGGGATCTCAGCAGGAAAAAGCGATGCTTGGCAGACTCGGTGTGCAGGCAGCGTGGGGCTAGCAGACCCTGGGCGTGGGGAGGAAATGAGCAGACCCAGTGAGGTGCGCAAGGCGGTTGGCTGATCGTGGTCACACATTTGTGCACAGATAAACCAGGCAAAAACGGGTAGGGAGACAGACCACAAAACCCAGGGCCCCAGGGCCAGGAAATAAAAGCACTGATTGAAAAAACTTGTGGGGGTTGAGGTGCCAAGAGAGACTCCCAGCCTCACAGGGGAGTTCGTTGGAAAGACCCTCAGGGGCCTAGAACATATACAAGCCCACCCACCTGGAGAAAACCAGCACCAGAAGAGCCCAATTTGCTTGTAGGAAGCAGGAGAGGGGACTGAAATCAACAGAGCAAGCACCATTGTTCCCTCTCTGACCGCCCCCACATACAGCATCACAACCCAGTGACTGTGTTGCCCTGCCCTGGTGAACACCTAAGGCTCCACCCCTCATACCTAACAGGCACGACCAGACCCCCCTCCCCCCCAAAAAAGGCTCAAAGGCTCAAACAGAACAGATCAAAGCCCCAGAGCCAATACTTTTAAGCAACCAAGAGCTAGCCAACCTATCAGATGCGCAGTTCAAAACACTGGTGATCAGGCTGCTCACAGAATTGGTTGATTTTCGTCACAAATTAGATGAAAAAATGAAGGCTACACTAAATGAAATGAAAAAAATGTACCGGGAACCAATAGTGATGAAAAGGAAATTGGAACTCAATTGGGACTCTTCCTTCTGGAATGGACCAGAAGGAAGAAAGAAACAAACAGAAAAGAATGAAGAATTCCAAAAAATGAGGAGAGGCTTAGGAACCTCCAGGACATCTTTAAACGTTCCAACATCTGAATTATAGGGGTACTAGAAGGGGAACAGGAAGAGCCACAAGTGGAAAACTTATTGGAACAAATAATAAAGGAGAACTTCCCCAATCTGTCCAAGGAAATAGACTTCCGGGAAGTCCAGGAAGCTCAGAGAGTCCCAAAGAAGCTGGACCCAAGGATGAACACACCAAGGCACATCATAATTACATTAGCCAAGATTAAAAGAAAGGACAGAATTCTAGAAGCAGCAAGAGATAAGGGGACAGTCACCTACGAAGGAGTTCCCATCAGACTGTCAGTTGATTTCTCAAAAGAGACCTTACAGGCAAGAAGGGCTGGAAAGAAGTATCCAAGTCATGAAAGGCAAGGATCTACATCCAAGATTGCTCTATCCAGCACAGCTTTCATTTAGAATGGAAGGGCAGATAAAGTGCTTCTCAGATAAAGTCAAGTTAAAGGAGTTCGTCATCACCAAGCCCTTATTATATGAAATGTTAAAGGGACTTACCTAAGAAAGAGAAGATAAAAAATATGAACGTGAATGGACAGCAAACTCACAGTTATTAACCACCGCACCTAAAACAAAAGCAAACTGAGAGGACAGCTAAAACAGGAGCGGAGCCACAGAAATGGAGATCACATGGAGGGTTAGCAACAGGGGAGTGGGAGGAAAAGAAGGGGGGAGAAGTTACAGAGAATAAGTAGCATAGATGGTGGGGAGAAAATAGGGGGAGGGCAAGAGTAGTGTGGGAAATGTAGAAGCTAAAGAACTTATGACACATGAACTAAAGTGGGGGAATGTGGGTGGCAGGGTGGAGGGGAATGAAGGGGAGGAAATGGGACAACCGTAATGGCATAATCTAAAATATACTTTAAAAATATATAAATTAGCCCTGGCTGGCGTAGCTCAGTGGATTGAGTGTGGGCCTGCGAACCAGACGATCACGGTTGGATTCCCCGTCAGGGCACATGCCTGGGTTGCAGGCCAGTTCCCTGCAGGGGCCAGTTCCCAGCAAGGGATGCACCAGAAGCAACCATACTTTGATATTTCTCTCCTTCTCTCCTTCCCTTCTAAAGATAAATAAATTTTAAAAAATTAAAAATATATATATAAATTGCATCATTTCACTCCCCTGCTGAAAACCCTCCATTGTGTCCCCATGGACCTTAGAATAAAGGTCCATCCCAGTAATAAAACTACCCATCCCCCCAAATTCTGACCAACAAAAATGTCTCTAGATATTTCCAGGGGACAGAACCACCCACAGCTGAGAACCGTTGTGCTACCCAAGCCCCTTGCCCGTGGCTTATAATACCTCTATGATCGGGCTCCTGCCTACCTCTCTTCCATACGATGGCTCTGCCTCACTGGGAGACACCGGTTTTCTCTCTGCTCCTTTACACATCCAAGTTTGCTCCCATCCACTCTCTGCACTTGCTCTTCTCTCTGCCTATAATGCGCTCTTTCCAGATCTTTGCATGGCTCACTGTTCACGCACACACCTCAGCTCAAATGACGCTTATGCAGCAAGGCCATCCCTGACCACCCCTTACCTCCATTCTCTATCATATTACCTTCATGATGCTAATCACAATAGAAAACTGTGTTTTCATTTGGTGTCTACCTTTTCACCAGAGTGTAAACTCCTCAAGAGCTGGGCCCTGTCTCCCTTGTTCACTGCTGTAGCCCGAGTGCTAGAATACCATCTGGAATAGAGTAGGTGCTCAAAAATTCCTCCCCTCCACCTCCTCAAATACCAGGTCAGGTTTTCCTTCTAAGATTACTCTTGATTGTTGGTGTTGTTGACCTTTATTTTAAACTACAATGACCTATGTTAAAAAGTGTGTGGCTGGGGGTACCATGTACAGAACTTAGTATAAAGAAAATAATTGCTTATTTTTGAAACACAAACAAAGGCCAATTAATTAATTAATGAAAGTCTGTTCCTTGCCCCTCAGGTTTTTAGCAGGCGCATAATCATACCACTGGTCATCCTTTCAGTTTGCTACCTGCCCCCAAGCAGTGAAGGGTCATGAATCTCAAACTCACCTGGCTCAGAGGTTCAAGCAGCCTATTTGTCCATCAACTCAATTTATACAGTATCATGGACTTGAAAACCTTTTGTGCTTGTGCTGGCGTCGAGTTAGAATAGTTGCCTGGGTCAAAAACAGGATGATCCAGGGTGCAGCATGGTCAATAAATGTTGGTTGATTCTCCAAACCATAGCTTGGTTGTTTCTTACATTGATTTTTGGCTGTTCCCATGAAACCAAAGATGATTAGTCCACCTGGCAGCTGGGTGGCTGCAAACTGGAGGCAATGTTGTCTTGGCTGAGGGCCATGGCCCCTTCGTGGCCTTTGGGAAGCATTTCATCGGGCCATTTTTACATTCTGGACGGTTGCCGGCTTGTCTCTCCGGGGAGGGCTCTCTACACGGTGCAGAGACGTTTCCACCCGCAGGGTAGAGGCCTTGACCTGGCGGGAGGACGTTTCTGTGCGCTGCGAGGAGGTTTCCATGTGCTGGGAGGACACCTCGAGGACGCGAGGGAGCCGCTTCCCGGAGGGGGATTGGCGCTGGGAGGTCTCCACCTGCCGGGAACTCGTGCGTACCAGCCGGGAAAAGGTCTCCGCTCGGTGAGACGAGGTCTCCACGTGGACTGTCGACGTCTCCTTGTAGCGAACGGTCTCCACTCGGGGCGAAGCGGGCTTCCCCCGAAGGGGTGAAGCCATTCTACGGATGTAACAGGGCCAAAGAGCCCTGAGGAGGCTCCACAGCCCCACACTCCCCGATAGTCTAGCCTCCGGGTTACATCACAGGGGAAGGAATGATGTCACAATGGCGTTACGTCACCGCAGGCACAAGGGTGGACGAACGTGCCCGGACACGATGACGTGCAGGCGCCGAAGTCCCTTGCAAATACGCGGTCTTGTCACCCAACTCCGTGGGCTCTGCACCACGCCCTCGCTTTTTGAAAGCCAGGGAGGGCGGAGAAGGGATTGAGCCCAGGCTGGCCAGGGATGGGCGGAGCCTCCCGCACCCACGCCAGGCTGTGCCCGCCCCCCGCTTCCCACACTGCCTCGCTACAGGAAGGCGGAGCCCCGGCTTCCGGAACTTTATTCGCCCCTCCCGGCAGTTACTGTGAACGGAGTACGGTTCGTTGGCGACTCGGCTTCTTCGCTGGTGATGGCCGCGGCTGTCGCTATGGAGACAGGTCAGTAGCGCTCGGAGCCTCGAGTTTTGGCAGATAGACTGCCTCTTCCCGCTCCCCCCTAGAACTCTCAGCAGGCCTAACTCCGCGCGGTTAGAGTTTGGCCGAGGGGGGGGGGCGGCGACGCGTGAAGGCTCTTGCAGTGTCTGGAAAGGCGAAGGTAGTTTGGCCTTTTCCGAGTCTGATTTGGCCGCAGATCTTTCTTCCTCACTTGCTAGTCAGACACTGACCCCGTGGGCTTCCTGGCGTGGGCGAAAATAACTGAGAGGAGTGCGACTTGTTTTTTGCGTCTCAAATGAACTTGAAGAAGTTTGAAATACCGTCGACACACTTGTGTATTTATTTTCCTGCCAGTGACACTTCTCACAGGCACACGCTCCCAGATCTTGCAGATCCCTCTTTTTTCAGCTTGACTTCTAATTTTTTTCTCATTGATTTAGCATTCGCTTAGCTTTTGCTTAATCACGTTAACATTTCAACGCATTATTAAAACAGGGGGAGGCACAGTTATTGCCACTTAGCCCGTCATCACTGTTAAAATTCCTACATGGTGTTTTCTTAAGCGATAAATGTCCTGCTCCCTACGTGTTTCCTTTTACTTTGAGTTTCCTTTTACTTTGATGAGTCTCATTAATTTGAGAGAAAATTTTAACTTAATCATCTTAATCAGGGCTTTGCTTTTCTTACTCTTGTAAGGAAGGTTTATTTCCTTTCACACCTAGTTTAGAAAAACCATCACCTGCCGTTTATGTAGAAATGTATCTCAGCATTAGTTTCTTTACTGCTGTTTTCTTTCTACAAATCAATAATATATAAGTGACCTTTATTTTGGATGGTTTTTGCTATCTTCTTTCCTAGATGATGCTGGAAATCGACTTCGGTTTCAGTTGGAGTTGGAATTTGTGCAGTGTTTAGCTAACCCAAATTACCTTAATTGTAAGTTGTTGAGCACCTCATTGAATTAATGATTTCTGACAGACGAGTTGCAATTCATAATAGTGTCTGCTTTTATAGTTTCTCAATTGAACAGAATTACTGCTACACACACACATATATATATATAATATATATATACTTATACTGCTACACTTATATATATATATTTGAGCAAACTGGGACTTGTTTTTTGAAAATGTGTGTTGGTGGTGGGGATGTTATGTAAGTAAATTCTTTATGTTAGGAGTCACAAATCAGTAGTTAAAGGATTGGTTTGCTCTACAGATTTTTTTTTTTTATGCCTTTCAGTTCTTGCCCAAAGAGGTTACTTCAAAGACAAAGCTTTTGTTAATTATCTTAAGTACTTGCTTTACTGGAAAGAACCAGAATATGCCAAGTATCTAAAGTAAGTTTAATTTTTATAGTCCTAAATATGTATATATTTTATTATACTTCAAAAGACTGATATTTAACAGACTTCTTAGTTTCACATTGAAAAAAGTATATTTTGAATCTCTCCACTTTTAGCTGCTACTACGTTACAAGACACACTCATCTCTAACTTGGATTGTTGCAGTAGTCTCACTGGTTATCTCTGCTTTCACTCTTATCTGCTCCCCCCACCCTGCCCGTCCCCCAGCCAAACAAAGCAAAATAATTGTTTACACAGAAGTGAAACTGATCTCTTAAAAATGTAAATCACACCATGTCACTTTATTGCTTATAGCCTTTCAATGGCTTTCCATTGCATGGAGAATAAAATTCGGTCTTGTTTCTTGAGCAAAAATTAGTATGATCTGGCTCTACCTTATCTTTTATCTGTACCACTTACCCCATTTCATTGGTTTTCTGACTCCAAGGAACCCACAACCTACAAATGCAGGGCCATAGCCATGGGCTAAAGATTTAACAAAGAAAGGGGTATTTTAAGGAAGGTTTTCTGGAGGAGGTAACCTTTCCCGAGTCTTAATAGCTACTCTCTGTTTTAGGCCCGCCTATGTATCAAGTACTGTACTAATTAAAAAACATATCTAGATGTATAGATGTAAAATTTAAGTTGTGCAGGAGATGCTGTCATTTTAAGGGTTACTAAATTGCAAGAAGCATATTATAATCACAAACCATTTTATTTTTTAATTGTAAAAAAATAAACTTTGAATTCACACCTCTGCTTTCTCTTAACTAGGTTGTCAAAAAGCAATAAAGAAACTTTTTGTATTTTTTTTTCTAAACACACAAGTTTGAGAGGAAAATGTTTCAAACTTGTCCTTTATCCAGGTCACTTTTCTCATCTGTGTCTAACAGCTGATTCACAAAGCTGCCTGCAGGACCCTTCATACCATTACTAGCTCTTTATAAACAACCACATATTCATTTAATAGTCCAGAGAAAATATTTTTTATTAGATTGAAACATAAAGTACATAGACTTAGAGGCTCAATAATGGACACTTAGTCTCAGACACCATGAGGTTCAGTTTGTTTCACCCACAACATTGCTGAGATGGTCATCTACACTGTGGCCAGAGGTGTCTCTTGAGCAAATATTGCTCCATTCAAGGACACCCACTTCCAACAACTAGATGCTACAAAGTTCTTTGTATTGTGATATTATATACCTCCATGTAACTTCAGTCCATGTTTCCAGTTTTGTCCCTGAATTAATCTAGAACCAGTCTATACCCTATTGAGAGGCAAGGGCCCTTCAATATTTTTCAAGAGAGATTGGAGATTAACCCCTATGGGCATATCATTCATTCTGCACAAGGTTTTTGTTATTTTAATAGTTGCCAACATTTAAAGATGGGAATGTTTCATATAATCAGAGTTCTAGCTACTCTTTGAAATCTGGGAGGTCTGGTAACTCCAGGCCTTCATTCTCCCAAATCAACTGGGTAGAGCTGAGGAGCAGCTGCCTCTTCTAGACACTTTCTACCTTTGACCTGCAACTATGTTTATTTTACATTTATTTTTCTCAGCTACCTTCAGCCATTTCTCATGTGCTCTCCTTTGGATATTTTACAGTTGTGCCTTATCTTATTCAGCGAAGAACTAAATACAGGCCTTCAGATTTATAAGGGTACAAGTGGACCAAATAACATTTTATTTCTTCATATGGACACTGTACTTTTATTAGTTCACCTTTAGTTTACACTACCTTGGGAGGATTGGGGTGGGGGACCATTCACATGGTTGACTTCCTGGAAGCTTTATGTCAACTAAAATCCTTTTTAGTTTTTATTTTCATTAATGCTATTGAGTTCTTATGTCTTGTTTTACTTTTTAAAAATATAAATGCATAACTTTTCTTTTGTACCTCTTATATTTCATCTTGTTGATTAATGCTATAATTTCTTATTGTGTCATCTAATGTATTCTGAGCACTATCTTCTCCAACTTGGATATGTGTCTAAATTCCAGTTATTTACTTGTAAATGCTACTTGAAACCATTCTCTTGGTTGTCATATTATTTTACAGATGAAGAAACGAAACCTTAGAGATGTTAAGTACCTTGTTCAAGGCCACCCAGCTGGTGAACTGCAGAGCTAGTATATGGACCTAGGTCTTTTAAACTACCAATGCCCAGGTGATAAATAGCTAGGGTAGGTGTGAATAGGGCATTCTGGGCTCGGCTATCAGCAGTTACAAGCAAATGTGTGTCTCTGGAGTGTAGACAGCAAACCTGTATTACCTTGGAAGGACAACATGGTATTGGGCCCTGCTACTCAGTGTTGCCCTCACACCAGCAAGTTCCTGTCACTTGGGACTTGTTAGAAGTGCAGAGCTTTGGCCCCACCCCAGACCTACTAAATCAGGGTCTGCGTTTCCCGAAGTGATTCATGTGCATATTAAAGTTTGAGAAGCCCTGCTGTACTGTTTTCCAAACTTCAGTCATTTGTACTACTTGCATAGATTTGGCTCTGTGTACTCCCTATATGACTTAATGTTTTTTTTTTAATTTACTCATTTAAATTTTACGTCTTTGAAATAATTTCATTTAAACAGCTTGGGAAAATTAAGAGAATACCTATATATTCTTCACCCATATATTCTAAATTCTAAATATTAACATCTTATATAAAACTGTAGTACAGTGATCAAAATCAGAACATTAATATGAATATACTCTCCAGCCTGCTGACTTCTGAGTTTGCAGGCAGTCTTACTAACGTGTGTCTAGTAGAGTGCCCAGTGCAGGCTCATTCACTGCATTTTGTCATCATGTCTTCTTGGTCTTTGATCTCAGTTCATTGGTCTTTCTGTCTCCCGTGATTGTGACACAGAAGTGATGTTCTGCCCTTCTGGGTGTATCAGGAGTCATAGGAAGTTGATTTACCCACCACTAGTGCTGTTAATTTTGATCACTCAGTTGAGGTGGTAGCTGCCGGTTTTCTCCATATCAAGTTACTATTTTTTCTTGTTTTAAAATATTTTATTTATTTATTTTTAGAGAGAGGGAAGGGAAGGAGAAAGAGGGGGAGAGAAACATCAGTGTGTGGTTGCCTCTCATGTGTCCCCTACTGGGGACCTGGCTTGCAACCCAGGCATGTGCCCTGTTTGGGAATGGAACTATTTTTTCTTATTGAATATCTTGTGAGGAGACACTTTGAAACTATGTAAATTATCTTGTTTCATACCATACTTTTACCCACTAATTTTAGTATCTATTGAAGATACTTAAGTGCATTAAATAATTTTTACTGTGGTGATTAATTCCAAAATTCTTTCCATATTGTTACTCAGTTGTAAGGAATATTCCCTTGTTCCCCTTATTCATTTAAAAAGGTTACATCATTATGGAGTCTTGGAATCCTGTTTTTATTTTGTGGATTATAATTACGTGTTTTGTTGCTCTGGTGATTCCAGATACGGCCTTTAGGAGCCCCTTCCCATTTTCTGCTACTTTTGACATATCCCCGTAATTTTTTGAGCACTTTTCTTTGGCACTACATAATATTCCAGGCCCATCTCATATTTTTCCCTGCCTGAGCCATTCATTTCTCTAAGGAACCCTGGAAAGTGTTATTTAAAATCCATGGATTGGACACCAGGTGTGCGTGTTGATACCACAGTGTTACTGCTCCAAGGCCCTCCCAGGACACAAACGAAGAACATGTATCTATGTCTATTTTTATATGTCTGTATAAAGTCAGGAGTTCATACTGATGTTTTCAATTCCAGCTCAATGATGGTTTTTATTCTAGCTTCTTCCCTTTTCCCGTCTCTTTTATGATAGCCAGAAAGTGTGCTTTGTCCACAGTGTATATACTTGTCTTTGCTCAGCCTTAGAGTATGCGGAATTTCAGAACTCCATATCCCCATGGAACACTGGGGTATACTTGTGCACAGTACTTTTTGAAATTGACTTACTTTTGAAATAAAAGTTGTCTTTTTATCATTATTGATAGAACACCAAGTTATCAATTAAATACCTAATTGCTAAAATTAAAAGCATTCCTGTTATTCACCTTTGAAATCACCAGACTAGAACAGTGTGATTTGACCCCAAACATGGACTCCGCTTATTAGGTGTTGTGTGGTCTTGGGCAAGTAATCTTTCTGGACTTAAGTTTTCTCATTTATGAAAATTTTGCTTAATGCCAGCTTTTGATTGTAGCTTCTTTGCCTAAGGGAAAAAACTGTATGCTACCAAAGTGTACTAAGTTAATGTTACAGAAATTGTGGGCTGTAAGATCATTTTTGAGTAACTGAGTTAGAGCTTGGTGTTACTTAAATTATGCTGACCATTAATTTATAAACTTAAACCCAGGTACCCTCAGTGTTTACACATGTTAGAACTACTCCAATATGAACACTTCCGCAAGGAGCTGGTGAATGCTCAGTGTGCGAAATTTATTGATGAACAGCAAATTCTGCACTGGCAGCACTATTCCCGGAAGCGGATGCGCCTTCAGCAAGCTCTGGCAGAGCAGCAACAGCAAAATAACACATCAGGAAAATGAAAAGCTGGATGCAGACCAGACTCCTAAGACTGTGTATATTGCTTTTGTACAGTGAAGATAAAGACTCATCCTACCTACTTTTATTGTGTTAGCACCTAGTACCTTTAGTGTGTTATTTAATCCATCTGACTTTTTATTAATAGATTTCTGTTAAACCAAACTGTTCTTTGATTTTTCCTCTGGATTTGTAAGTTTTTATTAGTGTTTAACACAATCAGTTGGGTAAGAACAGAAACATTAGGTGCTTTAGACCAATTTAAGGAGGCAGTAGGGATGGATTGAGGGGAGAGCCATCAGACATCCCAAACTCAGCCTAGCTGTTCCTGATAGGAGTGCTGCCTGGGGCAAGTCCATCTCCTGGAACCATACTGTTCCTCATATCAGATACCCTACCCTTCCTATCTACAGAATGAGGAATAGAGTCAGTCACCTCTTTACATCACAGGACAAGAATGGCATCATTTTTATTAAATTCTGCAGGATAGGAGGACATACCTGTATTAGTACTTGCTTTGCAAGAGATCATATGTAGAAGAATCATTGGTATCTTGCTGACCCTGCCATCTCTAGATGGGAGGGAGGTTGGTAGTTAACCAGTTGGACTCTTAACCTTAGACCAGAACAAGAAGAACCTCAAATGCGTGTTCTTATTTGGTAATACATTTACCTGGCAGACACCACAAACTAGGCATTATGTTAAGTGTTTAGCTGCACTTTCATTTTATTCTCAGAACAATCTTTGTTCAAAAGGAGGAGACTGAAGTTTAAACAGGTTAAGTAACTTGTCTATGGTTACACAGCTAGTAGGTGGCAATCAGTATAACTGACTCACAGTTTGGAGTCCTTCCTGCTGCTAGGTTGAATAGGCTGTGACCGCTCTGCCACTCACTTCATCCCAAGTAGTGAAGCATATTCTGACAGCTGTAAAACAAAACTGCCTGCATGAAGTGGGGGCTGGATTAGATGTGCTGTTTTCCTTCAGTGGTTAAGTCTAAATTCCAAAGCCAAAGAAGACATTTTTGGAATAACAGTTCTTTGTAAATGCATGGAATTTAAGGTAAAAGACTCTAGTAACTCATTTAGAGATTTGAAAGCTGTCTACTCACTATTAGGGGCTTTCACATATTTCTATTAGCTGCAATAATAATTTCTTTTGTGCTATTATTACCACTCCTGAAGATTTATTTTATTTTATTTTGTATCTTAAAGATACCCATGTATTACAAACAAACTGAAGGTTCATGAGCATTTTATACCACTCTATTGTTCAGATGCACCAGTTTTTATGTCATCATCATTATTTATTTATGGCTAACATGAATTCAAAGCAAATATGCAAATCAGGACATCAGAAGACACAACTGTCGTCATAAAATACTAGTCTTCAGAGAACAACATCTCCACGAGGTTGGCCTGAAGACATTCAGATTCTACCAGTTTTTGAGGCTGCAAGAGAAGAACAGTCAAATCTTAACCAACAGCTACAAAAATGCTAGGAAGGGATAGAATTGTTCAGTCTTGAATGACATAAATCTTGGAACAGAGAAAGTATGCCATTCAGAAACTACCGACTGGTGGTAACAAGTTTTATGAAATACTTAAGATACTTGCTTTAAGATGAATCATTACAATAATTGGGTCTAAACTTGGCTAAAACCGGAGACAAGGCAGCCCAGTGCCATCCCTTCTCGTCAGCTCTTATTCAGAATCCCAGGGCCATGGCCAGAGGTACCCTTTTCAAGCAATTATGGGTTGAATGGAAAACCACTGTTGATGCCAGTATTTAAAAAATCATATGTAGACCAGCTTTCTTGAGACTGTTCATAAAACTAAAATAATAGCTTTTGAAAATCATGAAAAAGGCCTGAGAGGTGTGACCCTATGGGTTGGGTGTCACCTCAAAAGACGAAAGGCTGCCCATTCAGGTCCCCATCCCAGGCATATGCCTAAACTGTGGGTTCAGTCCCCAGGCAGGATGCTCCCCTCCCTTCCTGTATCCATCAATCAGTAAACGCATGAAAAAGATGTCATGTTTAGGTACTTACATTACTAATAGTTTACTGGGATTGGCCACAGGGAATGGACTGAACAATGTGGTGTTTGGGATGAAATGTCAAAACCTTTCCACATTGGAATTCAGAACAGATTAAAAGAGTTGACAGGGTGAAATGTAACCCCAACATAGTTGAAGAAAGATACTCACTGTTCCATATTTAAGTAGTGTAGGCACTGCAGTTACTTTCAGTTTTTTTCTGAAGTCATTATTTGGATCTTTCCAACTTTAAAAAGAAAAAAATCATGAAAAACATTTACTTAGTTTTACATTTTGTTTAATATTTAATACATCCCTACATTTAGTTCTTTAGTAATCATTGTTTTATTGTAAACATTTTTAAAAACCTTGAGGACTGACCTGTTCCCCTGTGTAAAAGTTTTCATTTGAAGTGTAACTAAGCTATAAAACAAATGTAAAGACAATTAAGTTCTGAACTAACACCAGGCCAAATTCATTTCATTATCCTTATCTCCAATATTCATACAAGCGGCTGAACATTCAAATTTCTAATTTGTATTTAATATCTTGTAATTGCTTAACTTATCCCACTGTATCTCAGACAAAGAATCTGAGTCCCGAGGCCCTTCCGCCTGTTTGCAAGAGTCCAGTGCATGCCTGAGAAATAGACTGTGTATTGCCACTTACTAAGGTTTATCTCCCACTTGGCAGTAGATGAACACACATCCTTCACAAATATGCTTCAGCCCCTCTCGTACGACTGGTTCAGCTTAAAAAAAAAAGTTGATATGAAGTAATCACATCAACTCTACAATTAGGCACTGAAAGTGTCCCTCTCCCCTCCCCTCAGTTTTGGCTAAGGACTCAAACTTTAACCTGCAGTTAACTGAGGTGTTCTAGGTCAGGTGTGCTCTGATTTGAGAGGCACTTTTAGTTAAAGGTAACTCAGTCCCAGTCCTGATTTGCCTCCACGCCTCAGCGCCCAGAACGAAAGGGAGAAAGGCTGACCAACCCAAAAGAGATCAACTTACGTCTTCAGTAAGACACTAATCATGCTGGGGGTGCGAAAAGCTTGAAAGAAGTAAATTTCAAGATTACTTGGGTCGAATAGTATCAAGATCACTCTTGGGGCGGGGATGGACTTGGCCGGAGAGAGGGGAACAGAGAGGAAAAGGAAGCAAGACGACAGCTCAGACAGCCCAGCAGGTCTTGAGACTCCCTCGCCTCTTCTCAATGCTGCCTAGGCCTTCTTGCCACTTCCTCTAGGCAGCAGCCCCGAATCCCGGCCTCACCCTGCACGCAGTCGGGGCACCAGCTTTTCCCTTCGGCGTCCTTAGAACCGGTGAAGTAGGCGAAAATGGTCTTGCCTTTGTGCTGCTCCACAGCCCGGCTAAAGTCCTCGAAGCCGGATACACTCACCTCCCCGTAATGCGCCATTGGGAGACCGGACCAAGAACCGCAGTGGGAATCCTCGAGCAGCACCGCCCAGAGGCGGGGCTCCACATGGGGCGGGACGAACCTGTTTCTGGGCGGGCTAGGAGTACCGCGGTGCCGCGGGAGCCCCAAAGCTTTGGGGGCTACGGGGACCTCTGAGGGCCAAAACGCATCCGTGCTGCCTTTCTGCTCTTGCTCCGATCTTTCGGTTCTGGCTCCATCCCAAAACCTAGGCTGCTGCCCTAATCTGGTCTTGGCCCCCAACTCCTTGTACAATGGCTGTAAACCCTTCTGCCTTACAGCCGTTGGGCTTGTAGGTGACTCAGAGCCCTAACGGCTCCCATGCCGCCCTGCGCCTGTTGCTATGGCGACCAGGCGAGCGGCCGGAAACGAGGCCTAATTGAGATCCTCCCCCCGCCGCCGCCGCCTGCTTCCCAGTAGCCGCGCCTCGCCACTCTGGGCCGGGTGGGCTCCGGCGGAGTTGGGGGGATTCTGGGAAGCTGCGTTAGGAGTCATGGACCTGGGGGAGAGGAGACCTTGACCCGGGGCAGATCCTGCTGCTTGGAGCCCCTAATTACCTATTCTCCTGCCTAGGCTTTAGGGTGGGGCCCGGACTGGGGAAAGGGGGTGCGGGACTGGGCGGGGTGGGGGGGTGGCTGGGAGGAAATAAGGCTGTGAGGTTGGAATCGTGTGTGTGTGCGTGCGTGCACGTGTGGAGCAGCCTTGGGAGCAAGGTGCCCTGGGTCTGCGTTGGGGCAGACGGGAATAGCCCTCGAGCTATGAGCTGGCCGACTGGCCGTGGGCTCTTGCCCAGACTGCGCAGGGGAGAGCGAGCCGCAGAGGTGCCAGGCCGCTGTATGCGGCCTAGCAGGTCCGGGCGCGGAATTCGCAAGCCAAGGGGGAAGAGATGGGTTGCAAGGACATCCCGTGGCCGAAGAGTAAGGCGCCGGGTGAGGTCATTGGTGTGGGAGATGCGCTGTGTTAGTGCAGAGAGGCTGCAGCAGTGTCGGCAGCCACGAGGGAGAAGACAGGCGGCGGAGACAGCCGCGGCCGCGGAGGCCAACGGGGCTTCGAGGACTCCTGGCACTACAGACTCGATTGAGGCTGCAGGGGACCCTGGGGCTGTGTGGGTGAACGGAGCTGTGGGGGAACCCCAGGTGGTGGGGCCTGCCGGGTCTGTGTGGGTGACGGGCACTGGGGAGGAGGAGCAGGCAGTTTGTAGGAGTCCCCGGGGCTGTGAGAGGAAAGGTCGTCCTGGATCTATGGGGCATGAGAGTATTCTGGAGCTGTGGCTGAAGGTGCAGGCTATGAGGGCTGCTTCAGGATGTGGGGAAGGAAGCAGAGTCGAGCTCCATCCTGTACCTCCTGGAGAGGGGCCAGTTGAAAGGGGTGTACCTGGCCGAGCTTCGTGGGTAGAGACCAGCCGGGGTGGTCTTACAGGACCGTGGGTAGAAGGACATGTCAGGGCAGCCCCCCAGGCCTCAGGAATATCTAAAGGCCTAGGGGCGGCTTGTGAGAGGCTCTCAGGCTTGTGTGGGCCTGGACAGGCTGTGAGGGTCCCACCTGTGGGTATGCCTGGGACTGTAGAGATGAGCTCTGGGTTGGTCCCACCCCTGCTATGGGGAGGACAAGGTGTGGGGGTACCTGGGACAGTGGAGGAGACAGGCTATGGCCATGCCGCAGGCCCTTGGGGGAAAGGACCAACTATGGGGGTACCTGGGCCCATGGGGTGGCCTGAAGCTGTGGCGGTACCCAGAGGTGTAGAGGCAGAGGTAGGCTGTGGGGGTGTTCCAGGTCTGTGGGAGAGAGGGCAGTCAGTGGTGGTGCCCGGGGGTCTGGTACAAGAGACAGTCTGTGGGGATACCCCAGGCTTATGGGTAAGGGAACAGGCTGGGGGGGTACCCAGTGCTGTGGAGGAAGAAGCTACCTCCATGGCTGCTCCAGGCATATGGCGGAGGAGACAAGCTCTGGAGGAGGTAGGCCCTGGGGGCATCCCTGACCTGTGGGGCACCAGAGAGCCTGTAGGGGTACCTTGTACTACTGAAGAGGGAACTAGATGTGGTGGTGACCCAGGGTTCAGGGATGGAGGACAGGCTGTGTGGGCAGAGACAGGCTCTGCAGGTGACCCAGGGTCATGGGAAGCTGTTCAGACGGCAGAGGTATCTGGTCCTCATGAACAGCAGGCAGGTCCTCTGGGTGCTCCAGGCCTGTGGAGTGTGGGACAGGTTATGGGAGCACCTAGAGCTTTTGGGAAGGAGGTGGGCTGTGGGAGTGTCCCAGGTCTGTGTGGAACAGACCAGCCTGTGGGTGTGTCCCAGGCCGGGGTGGTGCCAGGAGCCATTGCAGAGCAGACATATTATGGAGGTATCCTAGGCCTGTGGGACGGGCAGCAGGCTCTGGGGGTGCCCCTGGCTGACTCGGTGCCAGGGGTGGTTGGGCAGGAGCCATGCTGTGAGCATGTCTTGAGTCTGTGGGAAAGGAGGCAGGCTGTAGGGGAGCAAGAGGTTCTGGTGCCTACGGCTTTAGGGGTACCTGGGTGTGTGGATCAACAGGCTGGCTATAGGGATGTCGCATGTCTGTGCGGGAGGAGAGAACAAAGGAGGGAACAGGCTGTGGGCTTCTCTGAGACAGCAGGGGTGTCCGAGGCGTCGTCAGGCATGCCCAAGCACAGGTGTGCCACAGCAGGGGTACCCACAGCCACAGGTGTACCTGTATCTGGAAGGGTGCCTGCTGCTGTGTGGGTGTCTGGCCCTATGTGCCCAGAAATCAGCTCTAGAGATGTCTTGAACCTGTGGGAAAGAGTTCCTGCTACTAGAATACCCATGGCTTCAGGGGTACCTGTGGCTTCTGAGGAACTGCTTCCTGTGAGAGAGAATGCTGGTTCTGCGGCCTTCCCAGGATTATGGGGAGGGAGGCAGGTTATTGGGGTTCCTGAGACTGATAGGGTTTCTGTGGCTTCGGAGGTACCTGGTCTTGTTGGGAAGGAGACTGGCTCTGGGGTTGCCCCAAGATCTTGGGGAAGGAGACAGAGTGCCAGGGTTCCTGTGGCTGCTGTTGAGGTGCCCAGGGCTCCTGGGGTGCCTTGTCCTCTAGGGGTAGAGACTGGTCCTGGGGGTTTCTCACATGTGCCAGGAAGGAGGCAGATTGCAGGAATACCTATGGCTGCAGGAGTGTCCATGGCTGGTGGGGCGCCTAGGCCCGTGCAGGAGGAGTCTGGTTCTGGAGGTGTCTCAGGCTCGTGGGGGGATAGAGAGACAGGGCAAGGACCTGCAGGTGCCAAGGGCCCCGCAGGGATGGTGATGCCTGCCACTGCCCGGATGCCTGGGCCCATGGGGGAAAAGGTGGGCCCTGGAAGCATCTCGGACATGTCAAGAGGGAGACAGACTGCAGGGGTGTCTGTGGGGCTTTGTACAGACCCAGGGGTGCCTGGGCCTGTAGGAGAGGAGACACTCTCTGGGGGTCGCTTGGACTTACCAGGAAGAAGACAGGCTGCAGAGAAGCCTGCGGCTGCTAGAGTTTCCATGGCTATGGGAGTGCCCGAAGGTACTGGGGTTCCTGGGCCGATGGTGGGTGACACTAGCTCTGAGGATGTCTCGGGTGTGTGGGGAAGGCGACTGGCAACTGAGAGGCGCACTGCTGCCAGGGCCTCTGAACCTGGGGGTGGGGAGCCTGGCTCTGAAGGTGTCTCGGGTCTGTGGAGACAGAGACCTGATGGACAAGGCCCTGGGGCTGTGAGGGCACCCCTGTCTTTGGGGGTGCTTGCAGCTGTAGGAGTTCCCGTGGTGGGGCGCGTGCCTGCTGCTGTGTGGGTGACTGGGTCTGCAGGAGAAGAAAGGAATGCTGCTGTCCCAGGCCTCACGGTGTCAGGGAGACAGTCTGCAGAGGGCCCTGGGACTTCAGGGGAGGAGCCAGGAGGTGGGAGTGTCCTGGGGCTGGTGGGGAGGAGCCAGGCGTCCGGAGTGTCTTACACCCACGGGCAAGGGACCAGGTTATGGAGCTCCCCAGGGTCCGTGGGGCCAGAAACAGACTGTGAGAATGTGCCAGGAGTGTCAGGTACGAGAAGGGCTGTGGGGGTGAGCGAAGCTGTGGATGTGTCCTCAGTTTCAAGGGTGGAAACAGGCACTGGCCATTTCAGGGACCACCCGCAACAGAGAGGGAGGCAGGCTGGACGAGTGTCTGGAATGGGAACAAGGGGGGACAGTTTGGGAGAAAACTGTGTGGGGGAGGACAGACTGAGGGGGGCGTTCCGGTAGTATGTGTAGGGAACAAATTGGGGGGTCCTGGGACTCTGGGGACAGTTTGGGGGAAGATTTGTCCCGGGTTGTGGGTGAAGGCACAGGCTCTAGGGGTGTTGCAGGGTGGGGGAGAAAGATTTTTTTTGGAGAAGACCCCCGGTATGTGGGGTCACAGTGGGTTTCCTGGAGCAGTTGGAAAGGGACAGGTTGCAAGGAGAGAGGTATCCCAGGACTTTGTACTGGGGAACAGTTTGGGAGTGGGTGTTCCCAGACTCTTTGCCTGTGTGTGCGTGTGTGTGTATGTTTGTGTGGTGTCACTTGCGCTCTCCCAGAACCGTGGGGATCACATCATATTTTTCCTGGTAGAGAACGGATTATTAGGCCTCTGGCACCCTGGGGGAAGGTGTTGCGCCCATAAAAGCTGCAGTTGCCCTGGCCCCATTCTGCAGACGCCCCTGAACTGTGGTGCCAGCGAGCCACTTGGGATTGCCTTGCTCACGTGCCTCCTCCCGCCTTCGTTTTTGATGTGTCTTTACGGCCTTAGAAATAAGGAATCTTGGACAGCCGCCTTTATATTCCTTCAGATGTGTCTGTCTTTAAGCAAATCCAGTCTACAAATGTTGGGTTTATTTAGAAGCTTAAATTAGGGATTTTTTTAAAACCTGATTTTCCCAATTGATTTTCTCTGGGGTTCTTGGAGAGAACAAATTCCTCAGTACACCTAACACTAGTCAGTTTATGGGAAATCAACTTAATTCAACAAATGTTGAGTTAAATTGTCTACTGTGCTCAAAGCACTGTGTTGTGGGAACTCTCAGAGAAGAGCAAGACAAGGCCCTTCCCCTCAAGGAACCTTGTCTAGCTGGGAAGATGGGACATATACCTGTGAAATAGGTAAATAACAACCTGAGACAAATGTGTGATAAGCACTTGATGAGTGCAGGGATACTAAAGCGTCCGGAAGGAGGCATGCAGAACAGGGAGAGACTGCTAATGAGTGTAGCCCGTAACAGCTTCCAGAACACTCATCTTTTGTCTCCACTGTGTGTGCACAGGGTGCGGGGGAGGCGGGGGAAATTGGACGTTTGGCGAGGTCATTCAGTTAATGGCAGATCCTAGCCTACATCTAGGTATTCTGATGCTGCGGGTTTATTTAGAATCATTCAGTTCTGTCCTGAGCTGCCGAGGAGGGTGAAGCCTAACTACTTTCTGACTAATGGTTAGGATTTATTAATGTGGAACGTGTGTCCATAAAATGCCCTGCTGGGAAGTGCTTGTTGACCATAGCAGAGCTCTGTTTTTAGAATAATGTCTTACTAAAGACCCTTGAGATTTGAAATTTGGAATAACAAGGGCTCAAGAGATTATCAGTAGTGTCCCCTTGTTCTCTTGGAAAGTAGAATTTCAAAAGTGTACTTGCTTTTGTAAATGGAACAATCATATACTTACCTTTAAGCATATGTTCTTTAGTGTGAAGTTGCTATGAACTACTAGAATATATATGAGCATGGTATTGTCTTTTACTTATTCTTTTCCTTTGTTTGAAGACTCTTAGTCTGAAAGTAACTGTCTTCCATTTCAGGCAATGCTTTTGGGAAGAACTGTTGGCTGATAACTGAGCACTGATGTTCTGCACTGTCTGACATGATGGGACCGGCTTCAGCCTGTGTTCATCTGGCATCTAGTGTTCAGCTTGCTGGGCGGAGTGATTCCTGGGCTCTTCCGGCCCAGGTAGGTGTTTATTCTTTCATATTTTCGTTAGGAAACATTTCAAACATGAAAGTTGAAAGAAAAGGATAAGAACACCTTTTTAATCTTCTATTTCAATAGTTTGTCCTGTTTTTCTGTCCACCCTTCTCTCTCAAATTGTTGCAGAACCATTTCAAAGTGAGTTGCAGATATCATGACGCTTCTAAATATTTCAGAATACTGATCCTAAAAATAAACTCTTCTGCATAGCTATAATGCCATTCACTAAGAAATGGACAAAATGTTTTCCTAATATTATCTAGTAACTAGTTTTTATTGTATTGAACTTTACCCAGTTGTACCCAAAATACCTTTGTATTATGAAAAACCTTCCTTCAAACATGCAGCAAAGTCAAATTTCACAGTGAACACCTAGATTCCGTTGCTGTTTCACTGTATTTGTTTAATTGCATAGCTGTCCTTCAGTCCATCTCTCTAGAACACATTCATCAGTCCGTCATACTTTTTGACATATACCAAAGTAAAGTTCAGACACAAGTACCCTAACTTCTTCAGCATGCAGATCATATACTAGAATTTACCATTCCTTTTGATGTAAATTTTACACCTGCAATGAATACATTGAAATACATTTGTTGAGTATTGAGATTTTATTTATTTATTTCTAGGGGGAAGGGAAACATAGTTTTTCACTGTTCCAGTCCTAGAATCGGCCATTTATTCAAAGAGTGCTTGTCACTTTAACGGAGAGTGGAATTTAGAAATCAGTATCTGGACACTGGATGTGCTCATTGATTCTCAGGTGTCATTGTTCACGGGCCCTGTCGGGGGACAGAACTGGAAAATAGACGAACACACTTGTGCGGCCGCACATGCACACATTCGTATGTGCACTCACATCCGTACCCCTCTCTCTCTCGCCTTCCCTTTCTCTCTCTCTCCATATTTTTCCCCTTTTGGTGTATCTGTCTGCTTGCCTATCCATATGAAAACCTGTGACTTTACACAGATATCTCCAATGCCAGTGCCACACTCTCCATTTTACTCAACAATGTGAAACCTCACTACAGTTATCCGCAGTCTATCTACTTATCTGCTCAATCCTAGAATGTACAAAAATATTTCAAAATTTTAATTCATGCCTCTGCAAAAAGAGAGGTCTACAAATTAAAAATTTCAATATTTTTAGAGTACTTTTTATTTTTAGTCTGAGGTCATATGGTCCAAATGCTGTGTTCCAAAGTTCATTGGGTTAAATTTTTTTTTAACCCTCACTTTTTAGTGTGGTTACATTATTCATTGGAGATTCATTGTATTTCATTGGTTGGTATTCATTTTTAGGGCTTTCCTGCATCCTTATTAATTTTACTTATTCCCTTCCTCCTCTCCTCCTTTCTTCTCTCCCTTCTCTCCTGTCTCTCTAATATCTGGGAGACTTCAACATGGTTCCAAATATACTTGTACAAAAAATTATAGTCAGAGGGTTGTTATCGCCTCTTCATTCCTCTATCCTTTCTATTACGGGACAGGGGGTCTGGCCCTGAGCCAGCAGTGTGTGGGCTCTTGACTTTATATAGAAAAGATTTCACAGCACAAGTCCAGGTGACTGGGAGGGTGCATTGCTTAACCCTGGGGACAGTGAAACAAGGAAGAGCTCAGCATAGAAGAAGCAACAGGAGAGACCAGGTTCAGCTGCCTTAACTCACTGGGAAGTCAGAGAAAAGGGGGCATTCGGGACAGGTTCAGGGGGTTAGCCTGGCTTGAGCCACCACTGCCTATTGGTTACCTGATTTCAAGTCTTTTGGGGACCCTTAGAGTTTAGGAGTTGCGTGCCTCTGTGGGAAGAAGAGAAGGGAAAAGGGAGGAAGGGCATGGGGCTGGCTGCTGCCCGGAGGGAGATGCTCAAACGCTGGGTCTCTTGTCTTGAGGGTTTTAGCTCTTGCAGCAGGAACTGGAGGGGAGTATTCAGGGGAGGGTTTCAGCAGAATATTCATCAATTTTCCAGGTGTGCCTCGTCAGGGTCATGGTCTCCTCTGATCCATCAGTGACAGGGCAGGGGACCTTCAGTCACTGCTGCTGGTCCTGCCATTGCTCACCTGATTTTGCTGCTTTTCTGGGCCTGGAGCTCAAATACAACTGAGGCCTAGATGCCATCCCTAGGGAGGTGACCTTCTGCATCTGGCTGCTCCGCCAGTTTGTCCAGCCCTCTGTCTCAATTTCCCTACTTGTCCTGGCCTCCTGGCCTGACTCATTTCTACCCAACTCCTACCCATACCCTGTAGATACCTAGTCTTAGTAGTCTCTGATTTTTCTTTCATGTGCTTCTTTTTGTTCAAATGATTAGACATGTATATATTTTCTCATATTTTCCTGTTTTTTTAAGATATTACAGGTACTCTTTTGCACTTTGCTCTTTTCTCTGAACAGTGTATCTGAGAAATCCCTCCACGTCAGTTCAAAGAGATCTTCCTCACTCATTTTTTCATTTTTATAGTACTCCTTTGGGTGAATATAGCATAATTTATTCAGCCGTTCTCCTAAAGAGCATTTAGGTTGATTCCAGTACTTTGCAATCACAAACAATACAGTGGTAAGTAACCCTTTGCATCTGTATTGGGGGTGTATCTGCAGTGTAAATGGCTGTAAGTGAGGCGGCTGGGTCAGAAAGTAAGCACAGGTAGTTTTGTTAGATGTTGCCGACTCCCGTCCCTGAGGAGTGTAGCGGTTTGTGTTCCCACCCACAGTCTGAGAGCGGCTGTTTTCATGGCCTCGCCCACAGCACACGTTGTCATTCCTTTCACGTTTCTGCTAATCTGTTGCTGTTCCAGCATTTTCTTAATTTGTATGTTCTTTTATGTTTAAGGGCCATTTTTATATATAATTTTGGTAAGTTGTCCAAGTGTTTTTCTCATTTTCAGTTGAGTTTTGGTATTTTCTCAATATTTAAGGTTTCTTTATATATAGGGAGCCCTCTGTACTTGCAAATATTAATTCTTCTTTGAATTTTTTATGGCATTTTTAAGAAAGATTTTATTCATTTATCTTTAGAGGGGAAGGGAAGGAGAGAGGGAGAGGAACATCAATGTATGGTTGCCTTTCGCGCATCCCCTGCTGGGAACTGGCCTGCAACCCAGGCATGTGCCCTGACTGGGAATCGAACCGTGATCCTTTGGTTTGCAGGCCCTTGCTCAATCCACTGAGCTACACCAGCCAGGGCATTTATGGCATTTTTTAACAATAAATATAGGTAGAAGTTGTTTCTAAAGTTTTTATTTTAGCGTAATGAAATTTTGTCACTCTTGCCTTTTATTGCTTATGGATTTTCAGTTAGAAAGTCTCTCTCTATGCCCAGGTCAAAGAGGAATTCACCCATGTTTTTTCCTAGTACTTACATTAAGTCCCCCAGGTACTTTAGGTTGTTTTTACTTTGGACAAGAGGCTTTGTCTGTACTTGGAACTTATAAGGCTATAAGTTTCAAGTACTGTTTATCAGTATGTGTGTATCTTCCATACTATTTATTTTTCTTTCTCTTAATTTCTGGTGAGGTTTATACCTGCTTTTATTTTTTCAAAATACTGTCTCGAACTTTTATGATAGTGGGTTCATTTTAAACTGACTCCTCACACACGTGATTACGTGAACACGCTCCAGCGTGGAAGCCCGTGAGGCCCCCCAGGCGGAGGCGCCGCAGCACGGGCCTCGTTGGGTTTGTTGTGGACACACACGTCCAGAGCCGTGGAGTTGTCTGCTGCCTTTGACCTGGTAATCCCAGGATAGATCATCTGTCCTAAGGAAGTAGTCAGAAAAGAGGAAAAAAATTAAATGTATGGAAAGCCTGGAATAATCCAAATGTTTAATAATAAAGTTGTAATTAGGTTAATTGGCTTTTGGAAGTGCAACCATGAAAAATAATGAAAACTGTGGGAATATGGACACATGACTATGTTAACTGAAAAACAAAACCAAATTTGTATTTGTTATGATTAAAACTGACAAAAACGTAAGCCTGCATAAGAAGGTGTAAGTGGCCTGTTCAGAGCAGCACGGACTTGGTGCAGAAGAACAGGTGTGGCCCAGGCACCAGAGGAAAACCTCAGGGAGGCCCGAGGAGGTGTTGTCGAGTGGCCCAGGTCCAATGCGGCTCTGTGCTGAGTCTGCCAGCAGTTCTGGGGAGTGCTCGTAATGGACTGCGGTGGTCACCTGCCAGAACCTGATGTTTTGAAACGGGACAGACATCACTAACCGGAGAGTTGAGCTTGCTGGTTGCTGCTTGAAGCGTTCAGGGTTGATGTTTAGAGGAGGGTCCCGGTGTGCTGTTAGTAAACCGAGGGGTAGTCCTGTGCCTCTGAGTGGCTGCTGTGGGGTAAAACCGGAGGGCTGGGTGAGGAGTTAAGGGGTGTGAGAGTGGCCGAGTCTATCAGTACAAAATAAAAACACCTTTTAGCACTAATAATCATGTGGGTAAGTTTTTAGAAACTTGATTATAGACATATACCAACTATACCGAATGTCATTTCTCTAATGAGTGCTTACTTTTATTTATTTAATTTTTTAAAGAACCAGCTGCAGTTCAATAAGAATGTTCCTACACATCCAAGCAACTTGGCAGCCCGACACTCTCCTCCACACGCCATTAAAATTGAGAAACTGAAGCACTTGCACAGCGAGTCCGGCTGTTGTAAAGACTTGGATTTTAGACACGGTGCTGACCAAAGCAGTTCTGTTTCCTTTTCTGTCATATCAGAAGAGAGACTTAGCCATGCTGTCCACCTCGCCAAAAGAGATATGAAACGAAGACAGTTTGAAGAACATGTAAGACATCATCTCAGAAGTCAGCTCCAAGTCTCTCAGAAACACGGATACACCAAGCATAGAATGTCTGACCTTGGTGTGGACAGGAAGGAATTGAAGAATCAAGAGGTTTTTCATTGCAGCCACCAGCCGCCCAAAGCAGATGTTTCCAGCTCAGGTGCCAAGGTATACGTCTACACATCTCATCCAGGACAATCAGATCTGACCCTGCCAAATTCGCCACCCACCCATGATCCAGGACTTCAGCCACATGCCAGGGTAGGTGACCACAAAAGCCTGTGTGAACACAGAAGCCTGCTAGAAGTTCAGCGACTCCAGAAAATATTGAACAATTGTATCCATAAAATTGAAGAAGTAACTAAAGAAGGTGAGAAAAATTGGTGAGAGGGGGATAGATAGCTCAGTTACATTCCTTCCTTTGGGACCCCTGCCCCATCAGGTTCCACTCCCTCTTCTGTCCCTAGAGCAAGCACTCATGACCAGACAGGTGGACTTTGAGTTTGCCCGGTGTCTTTTTCTGAAGAGTTTTCTGCACCTTAGTCCCACCTGGCACAGGTGCAGGGCACAGTTCCTTTCCTGCAAGCTGCACTTGGTAATCGGCTGACAAGGGCCCAGCCCAGGGGCTGGGGCGCCTGCTGTCTGAGCCTTAGTCTTCTGGCACCAGGGTGAAAATCATCCTGTAAAGAGTTGCTTCTGTACCCAGAAGTTTTTCAGACAAACTTATTTTTAATTTATTTAAAAAGGAGTATGGTGTATGTGCATTGGCAGATGAAACCAGGTTTAATATAGACCGTGTTTAGATGAATACACAGCAGTGACAAGGGAAGTGATGGATATATGGAAAATATCTGACCACAGGGCAGAAGGGAAGTCGCATAATCACCACGTACTGTTTTTTACGATTCTTCAGTATTCTCCAGGCCCTTGTGTTTCCCTGGCGAGTAGAGCGTTGATTCCACATAGAGAACATACGGTTACCATAGCTAATGAGCAGGGGGATAGAGTCCGGGTCAGACTTCAGGGAGCAGGGAGTTGAGCATCACATATATTGTGTTTGGATAGTACATAGTCTCTGATGATCTTTGGCATTTAAAAAATTAATTTATATATGCATGTGTACATGTATGCGTATTACATCAGGAATTTAAGGTGCTTTAGAAAAAATACCTGTGGTTGAACGACGTAGAACAAACACTTAAATGAGGATATTGTGGCACAGGAAAAAACAAGGAAAGGAAAAACAAGATATATTCAAGATGGGTTACAAATTGGTTTCTGAGCTTCCTAGCATCCAGCTAAAGAGAAAAGAGTGGCCGGTTGCAGAAGTTACAAAGTCTAAAATAGAAAAAGCAATTGTGTGAGGAAAATAATTGCACATATGGAGACCAGAAGAAAGTGTCTCCTGTGAGCGTTCATAAAGAGTGTGCTGTATAATATGATGAAGAATTAAAACCATTCCTGTATCGAGATAACAGGAGTGTTAAGATTTGTTTCTTACAACATTGCTCAGTGTCAGTCTGCGGCCTGACCCCATGGCACGCCGGGGTAGAAGCCGTAGAGGCCCACTGCTCTGCTGATGTGGCTTAACACAGGGGACCTTCGGAGCAGAGCTTTTCAAACTGGGGAAGGACTGGGTTGAGGGGACTTTGTTTTTTTTGTTTTGTTTTTTAGTTAAAAATGTCAATTACAAATCAAAACTTTCTAAACTATAATAAAAATGTCATGACAGTGGCACGTTGCTATAAAAATGTGTAAGTGCACACTTTTGGTTTCTGCGCTTAACTTGTCGTGGACTGGTAATAGTTTGCGACAGCCCCTGTCTATAGTGCACCCTTTCAGGTGGGCCCTAAAATGCCCAGCTGTGCTTCCCAGGTGTTGCTCTGCACACCGGTTGCATCAGAGTCACCTGCAAGGAGGGTAAATGGTGATGGAAGGAGACCTGACTTGGGCTGCTGAACACACAACACAGTGTACAGATGATGTATTATAGAACTGTATACCCGAAACCTGTCAAACTTTATTAACCAATGTCACCATAAATTCAGTAAAAAAGACAAAAAAAGGAATCATTTAGAAGACGAGCAGTTAAAAACCCCACCCGAGCCAGTTGCCGTGATAAGTAAGTACGTGAGTCTAGAGTCTGTCCCTGGGCGCAGGCCAGCAAGGGACAGAAACAGTGTGGCTGGTAGGCTCCTCTGAGACTGTGTCTGTGTTCGCACCTCCTTGATTTCAAATTTTGATTTCTTCAAAGGGATTTTCATTAGTTGACTTTTTAAAAAAGATTTTACTTATTTATCTTTAGAAGGGAAGGGAAGGAGAGAGGGAGAGAAATATCAATGTACGGTTGCTTCTTGTGCATCCCCTGCTGGGAACTGGTCTGCAACCCAGGCATGTGCCCTGACTGGGAATCGAACCACAATCCCTTGGCTTGCCGGCCCGCTCTCAATCCACTGAGCTACACCAGCCAGGGCCATTGGTTGACTTTTTAATGAGTAAATATTTGAGTTTATAAAATGTACTTTATAAAGCACTGGTTTTGTCTGATTTGTTTAGTGGAGTTTTGCATAAGAATATGTGTTGCATAAACATACTTGGAAATCACCAACTGGACAGAATGCATGGGTTGCACATCCCTCAGGCAGTGTTCCAGAAACAGTTTCTTTGAACTAACCTTTTTAAAATGTGGGACACCATTATGTGTGAGGGTGTCTTTCCTGACAAGTATATGAAGGCTTTGGACATTTATATACTCTTCATGGGTTGTCTTCATGTGCTGGAAAGGATTTCTCTTTTGGATTCCAGAAAAGAAAGTGTAAAAGAAATCTTGTTAAACAGTAGCCCAATAAATGGTTTTTGAAAAAAAATGGAAAGTATTGCAGATTTTGGCCCAATGTAAAGAATTTAAAAATAGTAAGAGGTGCTTCTCATGGAGTAGGCGGTGCAGTGGGGTTTGGATCAGGAAACCCCCGCACAGAGGGGAGCCTGACCTGGTGCGTCCTCAGGGCCTTGCTGAGTCAGTACACGCCCTTCCTTCTGAGCTCGTGGTTAGTGAGAAATGGCATTTGCTGTTGTGGTGGCCCCGTTTTTCTTAAAGCAGAGCCCTTCGACTTATGTGATCTCTTTGAGTAATTGTATTTTTGTGAGTTTTTATATTTGGTTTATAACCCACTTGGGGGGAATATTTTCAGAGAGAACGGAAGAAGCCTTGGACCCAGAAGAAGAACGGCGGATCCGGGTCAGGAGGCAGGAGCAAGCTGTCCGTTCTGCGCGCACACTCTATGGCCTCCAGCAGCAGGTGCAGGAGCAGGCGGGGGGTGGGGCCCGCGGCCTGTGTGTGACCTCCTAAGAGCTGTTTTCCTTTTGCCTCAGAAATGTTAGCACCTTGATGTCCTCTGTGAACTCTTATATGTTTGTGAAGCTAAATTTCCTGAACACACGGACAAATAATTTCTTTCTCTTTCTGTCATCTCCCTTTGTGTGTGTATTGTCTTTGTAGCCAGACTCCTTAAGTAGTGGTTAGTGACCTTTTGATGTCAGAGACTCTTTTTTTTTTTTTTTTTCATTATAATTTTTTTTTTATTTTTTTATTGATTATGCCATTACATTTGCTCTATTCCCCCCTCCCCTCCCCTCCACCCTGCATACCCCTCCCCCACCATTTCCCCCTTTAGTTCATGAACATGTGTCTCAAATTCTTTAGATTCTGTATTTCCCCTACTATTCTTACCCTCCCCCTATCTATTTTCTATCTACTGTCTGTACTACTTATTTTCTGTACCTTCTCCCCCTTCCCCTCCTCCCACTCCCCTATTGCTAACCCTCCATGTGATCTTCATTTCTATGGTTCTGCTCCTGATCTAGCTATCCTCTTAGTTTGCTTTTGTTTTAGGTGTGGTTCTTAATAACTGTGAGTTTGCTGTCCTTTCACTGTTCATCTTTTTTATCTTCTTTTTCTTAGGTAAGTCCCTTTAACATTTCATATAGTAAGGGCTTGGTGATGATGAACTCCTTGAATTTGGTCTTATCTGAGAAGCACTTTATCTGTCCTTCCATTCTAAATGAAAGTTTTGCTGGGTAGAGCAATCTTGGTTGTAGGTCTTTGGATTTCATGACTTGGAATACCTCTGTCCAGCCCCTTCTTGCCTGTAAGGTCTCTTTTGAGAAATCAGCTGACAGTCTGATGGGAACTCCTTTGTAGGTGACTGTCCCCTTAGCTCTTGCTGCTTCTAGGATTCTCTCCTTCATTTTAATCTTGGCTAATGTAATTATGATGTGCCTTGGTGTGTTCCTTCTTGGGTCCAACTTCTTTGGGACTCTCTGAGCTTCCTGGATTTCTCGGAAGTCTATTTCCTTTGCCATCTTGGGGAAATTCTCCTTTATTATTTGTTCAAATAATTTTTCAACTGGTGGTTGTGCCTTTCCCCCCTTCTGGTACCCCTATAATTCGGATGTTGGAACGTTTAAAGATGTCCTGGAGGTTCCTAATCTTCTCCTCATTTTTCTGAATTCTTATTTCTTCATTCCTTTCTGTTTTATCATTTTTTTCTTCCGTCTGGTTCTCTCCCTTGATTTGAGTCCCAATTTTCTTTCCATTATTATTGGAATCTTTTGTATCCCCATTCATTTCAATTAATTTAGCTTCCATATGTTTCTCTAATTTGTGGCTAAAGTCAACCAGTTCTGTAAGGATCTTTATAACCAGTGTTTTGAACTGTGCATCTGAAAGACTGGCTATTTCTTCATCACTTAGGTCTATCGGTTCTGGGGCTCTGAGTTGTTCTAGAGCCATTTTTGGTCTGTTCGCGCTGTTAAGTGAGCGGAGCGAAGCCTTAGTTGTTTACCAGGACGGGGCGACCCAGGTCGCTGGTTTGTGACGCTGTGTGTGGGGGCGGGGGTCAGAGAAGGAGCAATGGCGTTCCTCTCCGCTAGCCCAGAGCATCCAGTCACACACACAAACGCCTCGGGCTTGCTTATCCGATCCTAATTTTGCGAGCCTGCTGCACCGCGCTCGGGTTTCCCTTCTCACTGGTTTCTCCGCACGTAACTGCGCGCGACCGACCGACCCACCGCGCCTCTTCCCTGTGCGCTCCGCAGCCAGCTCACTGGCGATCAGCCCTCGGTTGCCGCCTGCGCGCGCCGCGCACCACCGCCCCGGGAATTTTTTCTTGCTAACCTGCTCCGCTTCTGGTCTCGCTCCTTGTACCGTTCCAGCCGAGTATCTAGTTGTCCTTTGGACTCCGTATTGTTGATTTTCCGTATAGCTTGGTTGTGACTGCTGTTAAAAATAGTTGTTCTTAGATTTGGTTGTGCACAGAGGCGAGGTGGACCCTCCACCTACTTCTCCATCTTGGCGGAAGTCAGAGACTCTTGAGAATCTGCTAAAAGCTATGGGTCCTTTCCCCATTAAAAAAATTGCTTAGACAGCACATTTTCCAGACAAAGTCAAGGGGATTAGTTACTCCAAAACCCTTTGTCTCTAGTTATGAATCCTCATCTTAGGAGAAAGGGACCATTTTAGTTTCCCATCTGTCTCATGTGTACAAGGTACTTGAAACAGTAGTCGTAAATGATTTGATAATCTTTATTGAATAATAAAAAGTGAAGACTATGTTAAGTGTTTTTTAGGACACATTTAGTGGCTTAGAAATGAGCATTTACACTGTTCATGGGTAACTTTAAAAAAATGTTTGTTTTACCTTTAAGGCCTTACTCATTAATAAGTTTTTCATTCATTTGTGGTCTTATTGCTTAAACCAAAAATTGGACCTTTTTATTTTAAAGAAAATGTCTGAGACTTTGTTCCATATTTTGGGGCGGTTCCTTACATCATGTTGCTGCCGTAGGGATTGTTTTAAAACACAAATCTTACCCTGACAGACCTCTGCTTCAAAGACTTCAGTGGCCCTCTGTACTGCAGAGGGTGGAAGCTAGCTCTTTTAGCCCAGCACCGAAGACTTTCTGACCTGGCCCTCCTAGCTCTCGAGGGTCACCTCCCCCTTCACTCCTTCCTGCTCAGTTCCCATTACCCTGGGAACCACAGGATGGAAGGTGGACCCTGTGCTCTAGTCGCCATCTTTAACTGGAAGCCAGTAACTATTTGGGGGGCGCAGGAATGAAGAGCCTTGTCTCGTTGTCAAGTGACTTGAATTAAGAATGGTTAAATTTGGATAAGACAAGCTGTGTCCTCTTCTACAAAAGAGATCAGTGGAAAGGTACGAAGTTTTCATGTTTTTCCCTTTACAAAACAGGTTAAAGAAATCCAGGAAGAATTGGATAAATTGAGTCCACATAAAACGAAGCACACTAAGAAGGTATGATGCAGTTCAGTTATGGTTAATACGTATCGTTTATAAGTTAGATTTCCGACTTTGTGTTAGCATCAGGTGTGTTCTCTGCGCCAACACTATTTTCAGGGCTCGTAGAAACCTATTAGCGAGGGCATGAACACGTTACGTATTCTGAACTTTGGGGTTGTCTTCCAAATAGATTTTTGTTGCTGCTGTTGCTGCTATAAGAAACTTAGAATTGGAAGGGAAAGACTTTTGTCACTAGAAAGTCTTTAAACTTTATAATTCCCTTAACTATTAAGAAGTTTTCACAATGGAAATAGTTCAGTATAGATAGAAGATAGACTGTAAGTATCCTTAAGGATGGGGTTAATATCAGGAAGTTCTGGATATTGAAGTAACTTCTCACGTTTCGTTTCTTGCTAGTCATGGGCAGTGTCCAGGCTGGCAGCTGCCCATCGAGGAGCCATTCGGGCCTTACAGACCTTTGTCACTCTGTTCACTGACCGAGGGGAGCGCGCAGTTCCTGCTCAGTATAAGGAGCTGGGCAGCCTTATTCGCCAGCTCTCACTCTGTTCTGCCAAGGTGGATGCTGATTCCTCTGTTGCCGATGTGGTTATAAATATCTTGCATCAAATTGAGGTATGAAATTGACTCTAATTTTTGTCAAAAGTGCGTTGTTTCTAAGCAGGGAGGTAATGTTTACCACCTCCAATTTCCTTTGAGATCTATGGGGAATACAAGACAAAGCTGCTACACCTAGGAAATTAAAGCTTTACTGAGGGCAGAAAAAAGACTTCATTTTGCCCTGGCTGGTGTAGCTCAGTAGATTGAGCGCGGGCCCGCGAACCAAAGGATCGCAGTTCAATTCCCTGTCAGGGCACATGCCTGGGTTGCAGGCCAGTTCCCAGCAGGGGATTCATGAGAGGCAACCATACATTGATGTTTCTCTCCTTCCCTTCCCTTCTAAAGATAAATAAATTAAAAAATTAAAAAAATAACCTAATTAAAAAAAGAAGACTTCATTTTTATTTTATTGTTTTTATAATCCAGTCTATAATATTGTGTTTCACTTCTTGGAGGATCGTGGCTTGAGTCTACAATATATATCGCCTCTTAACCAGGTCCATTAATTAAAAAGAATTTTCCATTTCCTGATCGGGCCAGTTAAGGAAGAATTTCGTACCACAGAAAAAGAAAACAGTCCTGCACTCTTAGATTAGTGCTTGGTTAGAGTATCGGTGTGTGATCTAGAGAGATTTTTGGAAAGGAGGCATTTTAAGATCTAGGGAAGCAGAGCCTTAAGTCTTGTGATATGGCTCGAGACTTCTGGAAATCACAACCGAATGTGCTGGTTAGGAATAAATAATGTTCTTTGTTTTTATTGGTGACAAAGACAGCAAGGACAATATGGCCTTAAATCTTGATAGTTCTCTGAAGTTTGCAGAGTGCTTCCACATCATTTCACGTTTTCTCTACTGCAGTGCTGTGATTTGCGGTAGATTTATTACTGCAATTTTACAGATAAAATTTTTAAAAAGCGAAGGTCAGAGACCTGACACAGTTACTTCTCTTGAGAGCTGGGAATCGAATTCCTATCTTCCACATAAGTGTCGCCGCTGTTACTTTCACTGCACCGCACGTTTTCGTCCACCAATAAGACAGCCCTCCTGTTAGTGCGACGTGGAAAGCCATTGGCTGTAGAGGAAAGGTGCTGGAGTGGGGACAGTCATGGGCTCACTGACATACCAGTTTTACCACTAACTAGCCTTGGTGTTCTGTGAGGCCACTTCTACCTGCACAGTTCCACCAGGCAGCAGACACGTCTGTGAGTGTTGGTGATGTCGTGGGTGTAGAACTCTCCATCAGGAATGTTGGTGTCAAATGCAGACCCTCAGACAGCGTGTCAAGTCAGGTGATGCTTTTTAAACTTATCCGTAGGAAACATTTATTGGTCAAAATGATTTCCTTTAGAGGATGTATCTTTATGATCCTAAAAAGCATCTGAAGAGATTATCTAATCCCTTTCCCAAATGTTGAGCAGGAGTGAGTACCTTAACATGATATTCCTTAAACATAATCTTTCTCTCTCCTAAATTGAAAGTGTTCAGTAGTACAAGCAGTTTGTTCTGTCTTGTTGATTACTGCACCATCCCATGGCTTGTTTTTTCCTACTGTCATCTGCACTGAATCTCCCTGGCCATGCTCAGTGGTCCTCAGTTTGTACTGACCGCATGGAGCCTGGGCCCTTACTGCCTGGCAATGAGTGAGTGCTACGTTATTGGAGGACGTGCCTCTTTTAGAAGAGGGGACACAGGTCTCCTTCATTGCAGTGGAGGAGTGACGAAAGCCACTGGACACACAGTTTCCTTTTGTTTATGAAAGTATATTAAATGTAGTCTGTTTACCCACTTAAAATTATTTGAGTTTATGAGGTTTTTATTGAGAATCAAAATGCCTTTAAAGCATATAGGATTATATTCTGAAAACCATGGTTAGTTTCTAAAATGGTAACCCTTAATTTTAGGATTTGGATGCTTTTAAGTACTCATATATTTATCTTTTTGCTGTTGTGTTTAGTGAGCTTAACATGTAAAAGAACATGCAGAATTTGATGTCTTAAATAATAAGGTTTTAAATTAAGTTAAACAGCATTTCTTTAGTCTTTAGAGATAGCCCTTTAATAACACATTTCTCCAGAGTCCTCATTTTGTGATTAAAAGTCAGACTTCTTTTAAATCACTGACAGATAAACTAAGAGAATAATTGACTGTTTTATGGCAGGCTTTGGAATCCCTACTGGAAAAGAAACTGTCACCCAAAAAGGTGAAGAAAAGTTTCACTGAAATTAGGAGCAGATTTCCAGTTGGTAGCCAGCGGTCCTTAGAGAGATGGCAAAGTGCATTTCCAAAGAGTGAGAGGAGACCCTTCGTGACAAAGAAGATATTTCCACAGGAAACAAGACAACCTTCCGTGGCAAAGAAGGCTCCTGCTGGTATGTGTCTTAAAATGTTCACTGCAAGGTATTCTTTGCAACCGTCTAGACTATAACAGTTGCTATACTGAGGGGCAAAATTAGGATTGAAAACATAGTCCACAATAGGTGTACTTGAACTCTAAGTCAAGTGAATCACAACCAAGATGCTACTTTAGGCTGGAGGCTGGCGTATTCTTCCTTAGAGGAGGATGGAAGAGTGAAATTCCCTTTTCCCACATCATAGCGTTTGCGCTACCCACAGTAAAATTTTGCATATCTGGAAGTTAGAGCCTTACTTTTAATTTTCACTTTAATGATAGGGAGAGAGAGAGACAGACAGATGCATATATACATGCACATTATATGCACGTATATTCACTACCTATCTTTTTTCATAGGTAGTGAATTCTTGTTATTCCAACAAATGGAATTGCTAGTTTATGTGGTGTGTATATTTAGACTGCCAACTTGCCCTTGAAAATGGGCATACAATTATGTTTAGACCAGCAGTGATCATCAATATACGTTTTCCCATATGCTTGCCAAGTACTTTATGTAATGGAATGTAAAAACCTTTTCAGTCCCTCGGGAAGGATGGTATCTTACTGTTTTATATTGCATCTCCCTGGTTCATAGTGTGTCCCTTAGCCATGGTCACTTCCTCTTCTGCGTTTGTCGTCCTTTGCCATCTCCCTGCTGGGTTCTGTGTCTTGTTTATGGACCTATAGAAGTTCGTTATATATTCTGGGTCTTAACCCTTGTTTGGTATATGTGTAGTACAGATATTTTAGTCACTTGCTTCGTGAAACTTGTTTATGATGTCTTCTGACATAGAAAGTTTTAATTTTGTAGTCAAAATCAACATTTTTTCTTACATATTTTAACATTTCATGAGGCAACTCTTTCCTCTTTGTTCTTCTTTTTCAAAATTTTGCTGGTGGTGATTGCTTGTTTTCAGAGAAATTTAAAATGAGCTTGTCACGTTCCATGGAACAGGATGTCAGGATCTGACTGCTGTCACCCTGAGTTCATAGATTATTATGTCAGGGAGAAGGACATGGTTACGGTATGAAGTCGGCCCCTCAGTTTCTTCATGTCCTTTTTCCATCCCTTCAGTTGAGTTTTATAATTTTCTGCATATAAGAATTCCTGACACGGGAGTACTTAGGAAGCTTAAATTCTTATTAGGTTTATTTCCAGTTATTATTGTTACGGTGAATGGGATCTTTTTATTGACACTGGTTATTGCTACTTACAGGAAAGCTGTTGGATTTATACGTTGCTCTTATATCGGGCACCTGGCTGAAATCTTTAATTTGCTGTGATAAGATGTATGTTTGAACATTTCTGAAATTGGTATACATTCTTAAATTGATGCTATCTTATAATTAATTGGCAATATTTAAAAATTTGTTATTGGTGCATAAAATAATGATGTCTTACACTGTAGATTTGAAAAAATAAGAGATTTTGTTCTTTTGTATTTTTCCAGAAAGACAAAATCACCTGCAAATAAGTTTTGCCTTTCTCTTTGCAGTTTTATCCCTTTTCGGTTTTCTCTTTCTACTTATTTGAGTGGTTTTCATTCAGAATAACACTGAATAATAGTTACAGTGGTGGACATCATTTCCCTCCAGAATTAATGGGACCGCTTCTCCTGTTTTTTACTTTGTATGCTACGTTTAATTTCAACATACATCCGTTTGTGTTCTGTTGAATATCATTATTTACTATAATCATCAACACACAGATTTCAAAGACCAAAATTGCATACACTGTACTTGCACAATTGATTAATATTTATACCGTCTTAGAGATTAAGGGATAAAAGTCATTTTAGCACTTCAATGAACATGATTGTTCTCTATATTTTTTTCTTAAAATTCTATTTCAGTGCTTTTTAAATTTCATTATTCAATTGCAGTTAATATTCAATATTATTTTGTATTAGTTTCGGGTGTACACCATAGTAGTTAGATAGTTGTACACATTTCAGAGTGTGCCACTGATATTACAGTACTTACCTGGCACCATTAATAACAAATAGTTATTACAATATTGGCTATATTCCCTGCGCTGTACTTCACATTCACTTAAGTGTTTTGTCTCCAGTCCGTTTTCACCCAGTCCCCCAGCCCCTCTCCTCTGGCAACCGTCGGTCTGTTCTCTGTATCTATGAGTTTATTTCACTTTAGTTTATCCCTTTATTTTGTTCTTTAGATTCCACAAATCGTATGCTATTTGTCTTTCTCTTATCCATGCTGTTGCAAATGGCATAAAATTTTATTCTTTTTTTATAGCGGAGTAATATTCCATCATATATCCACTCACCTACCGATGAGTACTTGGTTATTGTAAGTAACGTTGCAGTCAACATTGGGGTGCATATATTCTTTTGAACTAGTGTTTTGGGTTTCTTCAAATAATATACCCAGAAGTGGAATCACTGGGTCATAAGGCAGCTTCATTTTAAATTTTTTGAGGACTCTCCACACTGTTTTCTATAGTGGTTGCACCAATCTGCATTCCCACCAACAGTGCACAAGTGCTCCCTTTTCTCCACATCCTCCCTGGTACTTGGTTGTTGATTCATTGATGATAGCCATTCTGACAGGTGTGAGGTGGTGTCTTGGGGGTTTAATTTGCATCTCTCTGATGATTAGTGACGTTGAGCATCTTTTCATATGTCTGTGACCCATCTATATGTTCTCCTTGGGGGAGTTTGTTTTGGTCCTCTATTTTTAATTAGATTGTTTGTTTTTTGATGTCGAGTTGTATGAGTTCTTTACAAATTTTAGATCTAACTCCTTATCAGATGTGTCATTGGTGAATATCTTCATCCATTCAGTAGATTGTTTTTAAAACTGTTTTGTTGATGGTTTCCCTTGCTGTGTGAAAACTTTTTAATTTGCTTTAGTTCTGTGTCTTTATTTTTTCTTTTGTCGCCCTTGCTTGAGGAGATATTATCAGAAAAAAATATTGCCAAAAATGTCAGAGATTTTATAGCCTATGTTTTCTTCTAGGCGTTTTATGGTTTTGAGTCTTACATTTAAGTATTCATTTTAAGTTTATTCTTGTATATGGTATAAAAAGTTAGTCTGGTTTCATTTTTTTGCATGTATCTCTTCAATTTTTCCAGCACCATTTATTGAATAGACTGTCTTGCCTTTGTCAAATATCAGTTGACCAATTGACCATATAGCTATGGGTTTATTTCTGGGCCCCCTCTGTTCTGTCCCATTGATCTACACATCTGTTTTTGTGCCAGTACCATGCTGTTTTGATTACTATGGTCTTTTCTTTAAGATTTTATTTTTATTTATATTTAGAGAGAGAGAAAGGGAAGGAGAGAAACATCAATGCGTGGTTGCCTCACACGCCCCCAAGTGGGGATTTGGCCTGCAACCCAGGCACGTGCCCTGACTGGCAATCGAACCAACAATGCTTTGGTTCACAGCCTGCGCTCAATCCACTGAGCTACACCAGCCAGGGTCTGATTACTGTGGTCTTATAGTGTAGTTCGTTGTCAAGTAGCTGGACACATCCAACTTTGTTCTTTTTTTCTCAAGATTGTGTGGCTATTTAGGGGTCTTTTGTGGTTCCATATAAATTTTTGGATTATTTGTTTTAATTATGTGAAAAACACTGTTGGTATTTTAATAGGAGTGGTGTTGGAACTATAGATTGCTTTGGGTAGTGAGCACATTTTAATGATGTAAGTCTCTCATCCAAGTACTGAGCAGGCCCAACCCTGCTTAGCTTCTGAGATCAGGTGAGATGGGGCACGTTCAGGTGGGTGTGGCCGTATACTAATGATGTTAGTTCTTCCTGTCATGAGCATGGTATATACTCCTATTTATTTGTATCTTTTTCATTTTCTTTCTTCAGTGTCTGCCAGTTTTTTGAATACAGGTCTTTTACCTCCTTGGTTAAATTTATTCTTAGGAATTTTTTTTTATGCAGTTGTAAACGGGACTGTTTTCTTAGCTTCCCTTTCTGATAGTTCATTATTGGTGTACAAAATGCAACTGATTTCTGAACATTTATTTTGAATCCTGCTACTTTACTGACTTCATTTATCATTTCTAGGTGTTTTTTTGCGAACCCTTAGGGTTCTCTGTATACAGTATCATGTCATCCACAAATAATGATAGTTTTACTTCTTCCTTTCCAACTTAGATGCCTTTTATTTCTTCTTCTTGTCTGATTGCTGAGACTAGGACTTTGGTACTGTGTTAAATAGGAGTGGTGAAAGTGGGCATCTCTGTCTTGTTCCTGATCTTAAGGGAAACGCTCTTAGTTTTTCCTGGTTGTGTATGATGTTAACTGTGTGTCATATATGGCCTTTATTATGTTGAGGTATGTTCACGCTGTTCCCACTTTGCTGAGAGTTTTTATCATAAATGGTGCTGGATTTCGTCAAATGCTTTTCTGCATCTATTGATATTATTATACTATTATTATCCTCATTTTGTTTTTGTGATGTATCTCGTTACTTGATCTGCAGATATTATACCAACCTTTCATTTCATGAAGAAATTCCACTTGGTCATGGTGTATGATCTTTTTAATGTGTTGCTGAATTTGGTTTGCTAATATTTTGTTGATTTTTATGTCTATGTACATCAGGGATTTTGGCCTATAATTTTATTTCTTTGCAGTGTAAAATGAGCTTGGGAGTCTTTTCTCGTCATGAATTTCTTGAAGTTGTTTGAGCAGGGTAGATGTTAGTCTTTCTTTGAATGTTTGGTAAAATTCACCTGTGAAGCCATCTGGTCCAGGGCTTTTGTTTGTTGGGAGTTTTTTGGTCCCTGCTTTGATATCATTGGTTATAATTTGTCTGTTCATATCTTCTATTCCTTCTTGATTTAGTTTTGGAAGATTTTGTGTTTCTAGGAATTTATCCATTTTTCCCAGATTATCTGGTTTGTTGGCATATAGTTGTTCATAATATTTTCTTACAATCCTTTGTATTTTCGTGGTGCCAGTTGTTACTTCTTTTTCATTTCTGATTTTAT